TTTTTTTTTTTTTTTTTTTTGAATCTCACAATTCCTATTGTTTTATACGCATCTCTCAATGGCTAATTTATAATCAAACAATATTATCTTCTTCTTTAATATTAAGCATTTTTTGAAAATCGAAGACAATATCTTAATTGCTTTTTTTTTTTTCTTTAACATACCAATTTCTATAATAATAAAATAGGAAGAAAACTTGTGTCCGTGTTTCATACTATAATTAATGCATCTAATAATATATTTTTTCCTTATTATATATTATTAAGAAAATGAATATTTAAAAAAGGTGAGGAGATTGTTTGAACAGCTTAGTCCAAGTTGCCTTTTTATTATTTCATTTCATAATATTGGCTTCACGTTGCTTCCCGGTCAATCCCATCATCACCGTCCATGTACGACCGTACACCAATAAATATTTATGACGTCATTTCTACCTCATTCTCTTTTATCTTCTTCATCCTATCATTTACATTTACTAGAAAAAAGGGATTAAAATTATTTTTATGAAAAAAATCAATTTTAAATACATACAAACTCCTCCGATTGACACAACCTAGTTAGTTGAGTTATGTCTCTTGTCATCTTCAAATGACGAGTCAAACTTTCTATTCCTTTCTAGCGAGTCACTTTGCCTCGTTTTAGAGCCCAGTGGATAATAATGAATACAAAAACAAAAAATACACTCGCTTCCTCGCTTCTTTTTCCATCTTTTTATGGTTACGTCTGCTTTTACCTTCTTCCGAATATATATTTCAAGAGGAATTAAATATGGACAAATTCATTCTTGATTTATGAATATGAAAAATCTACCCATTATTCGACCGAGGACCTCCACGATATGCAAGTGAATGATAGAAATACCTTGACAACAAAAGGAACAAAATTCTCGGACAAATTAGGTACGAGCTCCTCTAAAATTGGAAAATGAACTATTATATGTTTGTTTCACGGATAGTAAAAGTAAGTTACGCGATAAATAGTTTATTTTAATGTATGTTTGTCACACGAGTTTTTTTTTTTTTTTTTTGTAAAATATATGTAAGTTATGACTTAAGCATGACATAATCAATTAAAAGATTAGCTTACATGATGATTCAAACTTAAATTCTCGTACAAACAAAATTAGTCACATTCAATGTTTGAACATGAGTTCTTGTATATGTTTAAATACATATAATTTATACCATCATGGATTTAAATACCAAATGTATAATTTACTTAAAAAGAAAAAAAAAAAAAAAGAGCAAGAGGGAATTCATAGTTTGACTTTTCAAAGCGTCCAAAAAAGTGGGCCAAAGAAATTGACCAATGAGCGTCAGAGAAATTCAAAGCTGAAACGACTTTCTCGTTTTCCTCTCAGTTTCCACTTGTAACACAACATTAATCCTAATCAAGCGTCTGGTCCTTTTCCCATTTCTTTGACGTTGTATTTAATTCCTTAATTATAATTAAAACAATAGGAGTTTTAATTTTAATTCCTCACATCTTGTTGTTGGACTAAAATTTCTTATCTCCTAAATATTTTTCTTTAATCTCTTATTTATTTATTTATTTAAAGATAAAAGTAGAAAGATTTAAGAATATTTTGTGAATGAATCCCCGGATTTGTGTTGGTTCCTCAACTCAAAAGCAAGCATCTTTATGGGTTTGTGATGGAATGGATGAGGGTTTTATCCTGGGGTCGAGATTCCGGCGCTGCTTCCTGGGGTTTCCCTTTGCAGAGGCGCTGCTTCCTGGGGTTTCCCTTTGCAGAGGCGCTGCTTCCTGGGGTTTCCCTTTGCAGAGGCGCTGCTTCCTGGGGTTTCCCTTTGCAGAGGCGCTGCCAGGATTTGAATGGACAGTCGAAAAGAAGAAGAAGCGTGAAAGAAAATGCAGGTGGTGATGGAATAATCAACCACTCAAATCTCGCAGATATCAATAAGAAATCCCTAGACGATATCGGACAGCAGCAGAGCTATCTCCAAAACGTACCATCTCTGCATTTGATGCTTAAACAAACTACCTCCTCTGCTTACCCATTTTCATCCTTTTCTTTTCACAATATCCTCTCATTTTCTCATTATTTACATCTCCCATCCACCCGCTTCAACACTCATTCTGCGCCCCTTTCTCTGTCCTTCCTTTTCTAATTACTGCCCGCCATGTGTTTGATTATTTGCTTATGTGAAAGTTCTGGCCTAATGCTTTGAACTCTCACATAATTCATAACACTTGTTCAAATAGAACCAAATAAGCGATTAAACTTTCATATGGGATGTTAATAATTGCTATCTTGATTCCTTAAAGGAAGAATGTAGTGATTTCCATCTTGATTATAACCCAAATGGATGGCTGAGATTGAATTTGGAGCTGCACTTTTACTACTCTGTAAAAGATCGACCCCATTTGTAGTACCTTATTTAATTGATGCAATTTTTTTCCTTCTCCTCCATAAATAGCCCCTCTGTCAATGGATCTTCTCTTCTTTAAATAGGAATGAAACTGGCAGAGGTGAAATAATAAAGCCCCTGCAGTCAAGGTAGCTGGTGTTTTTATTGTTCTTCTCCTCCATATTTACATTGCTTCTGGTTTGGGGAAATGTGAACCTGCTTGATACCCTCAATTATCTGTCTGGGTTCTCAAGAAGACATGAAAGGAACGTATTATTGTTTTATGTTGGTTCTGCATTTAGCTTGTTGGGTTTCTGCTAAAACCACCGCTTTTGCTCCAAATCATCCTCTCCTTCCTCATAAACAACAACGTCTGTTGCCAGCTCTTGCCTCAGCCTCTTCTAATTCAAAACAGGTCAACCTTCGATTTGATTATATGTCCATGAAATAAGTTTAGATTTCTTATTACTAGTCTCGTGTCGATGTGGAACTCATTTTTCTGTGTGTTTTTGAAGGGTGTTGGAGGCGTAAATGAAGAAGAAATGATGTATAGAGGGACGAGACGAATGGGTTCAGGGCGGCCGAGGTGTGAGCACAAATGCTATGGATGCAGTCCATGTGAAGCCATTGAAGTGCCTACCAACAACAACAAGAAGAAGAAGAGGCGCACCCAGGTGGGGGTCCAATACACCAACTATGAGCCCGAGGGATGGAAATGCAAGTGTGGCCATTCCTTTTACACCCCTTGATTCTAACTTGCTTTTCAATTATTGCTTCTTCTTCTTCTTCTTTAGTCGCATGAACCCTATCACTTCAAAACTCACATCAGTATAACATAACTAGAATCTTATCAATTATTTGCATTGGGTGTACGATACTAACATCAATTAGGTTAATTTAGAATAACAATCAAATAACTTGGTTTAAATGAGAGGAAGATTCGAATATGTTAATTAATTTGTTTTTTTTTTAACTCCACGTTTTGATTTTTACCATTTTGGTCCTAAAGTTTTTATTTTATATTCTTTATTCTTTATTCCAAATATGTCCCTCTGTGTCCAGCTTTGATGGGCCATTTGAACAAGCTGTCTTATCTCCCGACCTCGGTATCTATGGGCTGACAAGTCACAACAAAATGTTCTTTTGGTTTTACGTGTTCTCATGGAATTTGGAGTTTTTGTTACCTTGTCTTGTCCTTACAACTATATCCACCTAACAACCCATCCTAAATTAATTTAAAAATCCAGTCCACAATTATTAAATATTATCCAATAATTGAGATATATATTTTCCATCCATCTTAAATCGAGAAGAATGCGGTATTATCGAGTTTAATTAAAAGAAAGAATGATTATATGATATATTATTACTACAAAAATATTCGACTCGGTTTTAATCCTTCGCTACAGATTATGCTTATTTAAACTATTTTTTATTCCAGCTTATTCATAACTCTTTAACATGAAGCATTGAATTTTTATATTTAAATTACTTTTATATGTAGAATGGGTCAAAAGGGTATTTTAATTGCTCCAGCTAAATTCTATCTTATCAAAATAGCATGTCCCCGCTATTTTGGGCCTATCGTGTCTATACATTATAAAGAGAAAAAAAATGCAAAATACCCTAATTTTATTCTCTTATAATATTATAAAGATTTATTATTCCATTACGAAGTAAATAATAAATATGGTCATGTCGATTAAAATATAGGTTAGAAGATAATTAAATTATTTTCGATGTTAGTGAAAAAGTTTAAACTTAAATGTACGGAATATAAAATTAATTGGATTCCTTAGTGTGTCAACATCATTGCATGACAGAGGAGCAGAGACAATTCAGCGTTTGGATTAAGCGCTAAGGGCTTCTCTTTTAACCCAAACGGCGTCGTTAAAATGGAAAGAATCCGAAACCAAAAAAGAGAGAGAAAAAAAAAAGAGAGAAAAGACGATATCCTTTAATAAAGGATTGTAACTGTTAGCGATTTGCTATTTCTTTCCGCTTCGATTGGATCAAAGCCAGAGAGAGAAACAAAGGAGATTTCTGTGGAATTGTTTGTTCTTTAATCCCTCCTCATCGTGTTCTTCATTCTTTTTCTTCTTCTTCTACTGCTATCAACCGCTTTGATTCATTTTTTCGATGAGTAACGATTTGGTTTCTCAATTTTCGCCTCTGTTTCATCTCTCCTTCATGATTTCATTCCGCAACCGTTTTTTTGCTTCTTGATGATGATCTGTCCGGTCTTTTAGCCGTCAATCCAAGGCCTTGACGGTGTTTCTGTCTTTTTCCCCGGGATTTTTCGGCTAGGACTTGTTTTCATTGATCCTAGGGTTTTCTTTTTCTTTTTTCTTTCTGCGAGAATTTTGTATCATGGAGCCGCGAGTTGGAAACAAATTTAAACTCGGTCGGAAGATTGGGAGCGGATCGTTCGGAGAAATCTATCTCGGTTTGCTCTTTTCTTTTTTTTTTTTTTTTGGAGTGGTTCTGCTTTTCATGCGTGATTCTCTGTAGCTTTTCTAATTTGATTTTGATATTGTTTTTCATTTCAGGTACTAATATTCAGACGAACGAAGAAGTCGCGATTAAGCTTGTGAGCAAATTTTGTGCAATTGGTTTGTTTTTGCGGCTGTCGTTGAAAATTTATCGAGATGCTTGCCAATATGTCCTATTTGTTGACCTTATCATTCTGTCCTGTTATTAACTTTTTGTTCTCTTCTTTCAAAATAGACATGCATGCGTATTTGGCTAGGAATTTGAGGTAGGACATAAATTAATTCCTTAATTTTAATCGAGACCGTGGAAGGTAGAGCTTCCTGAAGGCTGTGTTAAGAGTTTGATTTATCAAAAGTTTAAAACCTTGGCGTACTTCTGGTAGACTTATGAAGGCGCCTGAAAAGTTCATGCAAGTTCGTTTGGATAGGCATCTGTAGAGAATGGTCTCCACGTTGAGTTGATTTCTGCTAGAATCTTCATAATGACTTAATGAGGTTGTGTTGATCATCAGTAATCAGTATTCTCATACAAAATGTTGATGTTAGCACAAGTACTTGGTTATGGCCCATGGGTTCAAAGTCCATAGTTCTCTCAATCTCACTCACATTAATATCTATTGTCAAACTTGTGAATGTTGAAAGTGATGGATTTTTAGTTAGAAAAGTATGAGCACGAAACTCATGCAGTACCTCTGTCACCAATGGGATATTCATTTATTTTATTACTTTTCAGCATTTAAGTGGAGCATAGGATGAAAACTTTTTCATGATAAGATGGGCTGATAAGTTATTCCTACGGTACTTCGTTAGCTGTTGGCTCAGATTAAGCTTGAAATTACTTGCAACTTTCCCTTTTGGATGGACAGAATTGAGTCGTTATTTGATTGATGGAATTGGTTCTTTTTTCTCATTAAATAGTCTTTACAGCAATAAGTAATTTTTGCATTCCTGAGACAGTTTCTTTTTCCAGGAAAATGTGAAGACGAAGCATCCACAGCTGCTGTATGAATCAAAACTATACAAAATACTACAAGGAGGAAGTAATAAACGTTACTCTTTACCTTGTCTTGTTTATAAGTTCCACACTTCATAATACATGCTTGCTAACTTTTCGCAATTTGGACAGCTGGAATTCCAAACGTGAGGTGGTTTGGTGTTGAGGGGGACTATAATGTTCTTGTTATTGATTTGTTGGGTCCTAGCCTCGAAGATTTGTTTAACTTCTGCAGCAGAAAATTGTCTCTTAAGACCGTTCTTATGCTTGCTGATCAGATGGTATTATTTAATTCATTGTGTTCACCCATCCCTATGTGTACTTCATGTTCTTGTTTATTAATGCTCTTCGAAACCGTTGCCTTCTTTTAGATCAATCGGGTTGAGTTCGTCCACTCCAAGTCCTTTCTACATCGAGATATCAAACCTGATAATTTTCTTATGGGCTTAGGAAGACGTGCCAATCAGGTTTCAATTATGTTTGTTGTAAGATTTTGCATTTGATTTTGTTTTGATCTATTCATCCAATGTCCTGTATCCATGTTACCATAGGTCTATGCTATTGACTTTGGTTTGGCTAAAAAGTACAGAGACACTTCAACTCATCAGCACATTCCATACAGGTTGGTTTATAATTAAAAATTGTTATCGTTTAATCCATATTAGAACTTTTTATGAAGATCTCAGTTGTAGTATTCATTGCTTTCAGTGATGTCCTTTGGTGTGAATTTTGTTGGCGGGTAATGTAGTACTGGGTCATTGTTAATGCTTAAGATGCTCCGACATGATGCTTGGAAGTTCAAGATGTTAATTAGCATGCTATCCTTCATTCTGGACAATTCATTCAAAACGTTCTTTAAAAAAAAAAAAAAAAAAAAAAAAAAAATAATAATAATAATAATAACTCTAAAATCTAATATAATATATTGTCTTACAATATCCTAATTCCTAGGATAATGTAATATCACTCACTCATTTGTTTATTTCAAGTATTGGGGATTTGCTTCCATGATAAATGTTATGGAGTTAAATTATGGTCTGTTTGTCTCCTTTTCTAACTGTTAGTTCTTGGCTATCATGATATACTAAGAAAATCAGAAAAAATAGTCTAGCTCAGAAGAGAGTGAAAAAGGATTCTGTTACATTTTGCCGTGTATCTGGGTCTGTTGGTTAAGATTTTGGGCTTTGATTTAGATTCTAGACCAATGTTCTATGTTTGAACCTGTGTTCTGGTGTTGGGGGCTGGCATCAATACCGTAAACATATACAAAAAAAAAAAAACAAAAAAAAAAGCACTTTCCTTTTATCTGTTGATCCCAAAGGAACAATTTCCATGAGTTTGACAAATGTAAACTGCTGACAATTTGTAGAGAAAACAAGAATTTGACAGGAACAGCGAGATATGCAAGCATGAATACCCATCTCGGCATCGGTATCTGTTTTCTCTTTCCCTCTATTTTCTCACTCCTCCCAATAATCCACACACACACGTAATAGAACATAGATTTAGAAGTGAAGGAAAATGGAAGAATTATTTTTAGTTCTATTTCCTCTACTCCTTACAATTTTGATTTCTTAACATACAGAACAAAGCCGCAGGGATGATTTAGAATCACTTGGATTTGTTCTTATGTATTTTTTAAGGGGCAGGTAAATGTTTTTCTGTTATCATTTGTGATTTATTATTGTGAAATATGGTGTGCTAACCTGTCATCCCTTTAGTCTTCCTTGGCAGGGACTCAAAGCAGGAACCAAGAAACAAAAGTACGAAAAGATTAGTGAAAAGAAAGTCGCCACATCTATTGAGGTTAGTTAATCCATGTCTTAGGGTGGCATTTCTTGCTAATGATACAATTCTTGTGCTGAATATTATGAAATCCAATTAGATTATGCTGATATATTGTTCTGCTACAGGCCTTATGTCGTGGATACCCTACTGAATTTGCTTCATACTTCCATTATTGTCGATCGTTAAGGTTTGATGATAAGCCAGCCTATTCTTATCTAAAAAGACTCTTCCGTGATCTTTTCATTCGTGAAGGTTTGAATTATATAATCTGTTTGTTATGTTACTGTGTTGTACTGTTCTATTAAATTAAATGAAGTTATACTTTTCAGGTTTTCAGTTCGATTATGTGTTTGATTGGACCATTTTAAAGTATCAGCAGTCCCAGATAACCGCCCCACCTGCTCGTGCTATTGTAAGTTTTGGAATGCATGACATTGACTTTTCCCTTTATGCTAATACTCAATATCCATCCTTAATCCTTGTAAGTTTTAAATTTTAGGCTGGTGCTGGACCAAGCTCTGGACTACCTATGGCTGTGGCCAATGCTGATAGGCACCCTGGTAGTAGATTCTGTTCTTTCTCGAGTTCCTCGTATCTTAACATCTTAATGATTAATGAGTTTCAACAAATTTATTTATTATTTAAAGAAATAATAAATAAAATAATGATGATAATAAAAGAGCCTTAATGATGTCATGCATTCCCTTTCCCTTGCGAAATATCTGAGTGGAAATTTAAGATGCTTAATCTGACCATCCAATTATCTTTGAAGGTGGAGAAGAAGGTCGACCACCTCCGAGTGGCTGGGTACCAGCAGACCCCCTGCGAAGGAGAAACTCTGGTCCAGTAACAGGCACTGGAAATTTATCAAAACAAAAGCCCCCAGCAGTAAATGGTCCAGCTGTTGCCAAGGAGCATATAGTGAGCACTTCTTGATTACACGCTTCTTATCCTGCTCTTCTCATCTGTTAACTCGAACATTATCTTGGCTTCATCCAGCTACCAAATTCCAATATGTTGTTACGTTCAAGTGGATCATCAAGACGAGCTGCCATCGCTAGCAGTCAAGATTTAGCTGCGCTTGGATGTGAAACCGATCCATCTCGCCCTCCAATTCCAGATCCGAGTTCAGCAGCTCTACACAAAATTTCTAGTGCAAGGCATTCTCCTGTAGTATCAGCAGATCAGAACCGTAACGCCTCTGGCAGAAACGTATCAAACATCAGGAACTTTGAGTCAACTCTTAGGGGTATCGAAAGCCTCCATTTTAGTGGAGGAGATGAGAAGGTAAAATATTAGTGGCTAACACTCAGCTCGCTATCTATCTTGTAAATATGGTCGGGCGGTTTGTTCTGCTTTCGTTTGTGTTTTAGGAAAGCAGCAGCAGAAACAACTTGGAAACGAACATTTACTGTCACAAAATGGTAGGAAGAGGAGAATTACTACGTGGCTCATCGAAGAAACTTGTCAATGAATGCCCCATTTTTAGTCGCCTTAGGCAGTGGGATTCAGTTTCTCTAATTTATTTGTTGAATACTGTTCGTTGTATTCCATTTTACGTAATATTTTATCCTCGGCGTTTCTTTCCATAGCCATCCAGACGAACATCAGATCTCAGTAAGTAGTTTATGTTTTTTTTTTTTTTATTTCCTTAGCTACGGTAACGTGGGGGTATCCTCACTGTGACTACATATTTTCTTATGTCTATAAACTAGTTTTGCTTTTCTTCATTTTAATTGCTCATTAGGTAGCCGAACTTTTATTTTCTGCGGCGTTAAGTTCTGTGCTTTGGTAATCAACCGCCATATGGGAATACACCAATTGTTTTAACATAAAACAGTCGTCCAAATCCTTGACAAAAAAGAGATCCAAACGAGATCCGAACAGTTTTAACTAAGAGATCCAAACGAGAAAGGAAATGAAATAAGTTGCCAATGATACCCCTACAGAAAAAGTCCAGAAAATGACCTAGGAGTAGAACTCTTTTTGAGGTGTTTTTCTATTGAAAATTGTAAATGTCGGTCAATTTTATAAAATTTGAACATTCCTTCTCTCAATTTTATACCTAATGCTTCAAATGTCTCGAATTGGATTTTTGTAATCGAATTTGGATGGTAAGATCTCATACATTTTTGTCATCATTTTGTCTCAAGTACAATCTTTTACTATGTAGTAAAAGACTAGAACACGAATGAAAGTTTTTCTTAACTTCCCAATGACATTTGAAAAATGAACAAATATGTCAATGGTACCCCAATAGAAAATGATCTGAAAATATGGTAGGAGCAAAATCACTTCGGTATATTTTTTCACTGAAAGTTCATGTCAATTTCATCAAATTTGAACACTCGTCACAAAGCAAATATTGGTCATAATTCAATTTTTTCATTTAATGCTTCAAATGTTTCAAATAGGGTTTTCGTGTTCGGGTTTAGGTTGTAAGGTCTCGTATACATAGCTATAGGTTTTTTTTTTTATTATTTTATTTATTTTTATCTTCCTTTAGTCCTAGTACAATCTCAAATCTCAAATGAGTATAGTAAGAGACCAAAATTAGAAAGAATATCCCAATAGCACTGGTTTAAGAATTGAAAAAGTTGTCAATAATACTCCTATAGAAAATGCCTAAAAAATGGCTGGGAGCTCAACCATTTTGAGGTCTTAGTTCTATTGGAAAATATATTAATTTCATCAAATTTGGACATTCCTCACAGAACAATTAAAAATAGTGGTCATGAGTTCACCTAATATTTCAGAAATAAGTTTGTCAACGTCCTAATAGCACTCGTTTGAGAAACGACAAAAAGTTGCTAATAATACCCTTATGAAAAATGACTTGAAAATAGCATAGGACTTAATTTGAACATTCCTCACAATATAATTTTTTCACCTAATGCTTCAAATTTCCCAACACAATTTTTTCACCTAATGCTTCAAATTTCCCAAATATAGTTCTCGTGTTCGTGTTTAGGTTATAAGGTCTTGCACACATTAAAAATTTTATTTTATCACCATTTTAGTTTAGTACATTCTTAGTGAATATAGTAAAAGACTAAAACGAAATTCGAATCCTAACGTAAACGTGTTAATGTGTAAATTTCACCGAATTTGAATATTTCTCACAAAATAGTGTAACTTTAGTTGTTTCACATTGGTAAGTATCTCAGAACCTTTGCACTGCAAGTATGAAATGTTTGTTAAAAATTAATGACTAACAAATTCCTTATAAATGGGAATTCAAAAATGGTTCTGAAATGTTCATAAAAATCAAGTGCACTCAACTGCATTATTTATAATTTGAGTTAGAAAGGGACATTTTGTCCATTTTAATGTTCCATACATTATAAATGTAGATTAATTGAAGTCTAAATTTCGAGCATAGTAATGATGGTTAATTGCAAGTGCCAACACTAAACCAGAATATAATTGCAACGTCTGGATGGAGCAAAAGTCGATAGCACAGGAAAAAAAGATGGCAAAAAATCCATCAAAGACCTACAAGAGAAAAAGACAACGAGTTCTTATAACTTCGGGAAAAAAAAGGCAAACAACAGAAAAAAGCCTCAAATACAATACAAAACCCCAACAGAAACAAAAAGGCCCATATTTTACCAGAAAAGCAATTTGACAATCTTTATATTGCAGTGGTGCAGGGCACACCATTTTCCAAGGTCAGATAGGTTCAAGAATATTAATTTAAGACACTAGAGTAGAGGAAAAAGATAGAGGTGAAAAGCTTGAGTCTTCGAAGAGAAGAGAAGAGAAAACCAGATGCCTTGTTGACTTGACCCACCAGAATATTTCCGTTCTCACAGGAGATCAGCAACATTAGCTGGCAGCTCTTCAATTACCACGTTGTAAAACTTCTGAATGTCAAATAACATTCTTTCGTCCTCATTAGTTACAAAGTTGATGGCAACACCCTTTCTTCCAAAACGTCCACTTCTTCCTATACGATGAAGGTAATTCTCTGGTTGTGTTGGCAGATCATAGTTAATAACTAGAGAAACCTGCTGCACATCAATACCACGGGCCAATAGATCGGTAGTAATGAGGACTCTAGAAGAGCCTGAACGGAACTCGCGCATAATAATGTCTCGGGTGTTCTGGTCCATGTCACCATGGGTAGCCGAAACCGTGTGGTCACGGCTTCGCATCTTATCAGTGAGCCAATCCACTTTACGACGAGTATTAACAAAGATGACACTCTGGGTGATGGCCAAAGTCTCATAAAGATCACAGAGGGTCTCGAGTTTCCAGTCTTCCTTGTCAACATTGACATAGAACTGCTTGATACCTTCCAAGGTGAGCTCATCGCGCTTTACGAGAATTCTTACAGGCTTGTTCATGAACTTCCTGGTGATCTCAAGAGCTTCAGGTGGCATTGTAGCAGAGAAGACCCCAACCTGAATCTTGGATGGTAGCAGCTGGAAAATGTCATAAATCTACAATTGGGATATACATTTGTTAGGGGAGTTTCAAGATTGAAACCAGAACTCCAAGACATGATTAGTTCCAATGCAATGAAAAAAGTGAACCATTCAGTTAGTTATAGCGATGGATTCTATACATTGAGAACAGTAAATAAATTAATTAAAAAATCGCACACCGTATGGGAACAAAATAAGTGAACAGCTACAAACTCCATCACCGATATTTTCAGGAAAAGATAGGAGAAAGAACACCGGAAATGAGAGCATCCTACGTCAATTTCTACATCTCCGAAGATAGGAGAAAGAACACCGGAAATGAAAGCATACTACGTCAATTTCTACATCTCCGAAGATATTATTACACAACTAAAAACACTAAACCAATAGGGAAAAAGAAACAATCTTTCAATCTTTCAATCTTCCAATCTTTAAAACCAGAACTCAAACAGTACATAACTGACCAAAGAAACCTGCCAGAATGCTATTAACGACTTAGATAACCTCTTCAGAATGCTATTTATCATGGGGCAATAGTGCCTATAGCTAAACTAAATTTTAACCACTGACTAGGCAACAACTTGTAGCCACAGTCCGGATGCCCTAAACAGTGTAATAAAAAGAACAAAATTTCCAAGCATGTGAGAACAGATTCATGAAAGTAAAATAACAAACCTGATCCTTGAATCCACGTGAAAGCATCTCATCAGCCTCATCCAACACAAACATTCGAATGCAGTCGGGACGAAGTGACTGTCTACGCAACATATCAAACACACGACCAGGAGTACCAACAACAACATGAACACCAGCTTGAAGAATGCGTTGGTCCTCACGAACACTTGTCCCACCAACACAAGCATGAACCTTCACTCCCAGATAATCACCAAGGGCTCGCATAACCTTCTCAATCTGTTGTGCAAGTTCCCTAGTGGGTGCTAAGACCAGAGCCTGGCATTGCACGAGACCGTAATCAAGCTGCTGCAAAATGCCAGAGCAGAAAGTTGCAGTCTTTCCCGTACCAGACTGCGCTTGTTGGATCACATCAAGCCCTTTGCAGAAAGGAACAATTCCCCTTTGCTGAATGGCAGAAGGCTTCTCAAAACCTTTATAAACGAGGTTAAAACTATAATACAGGATATTGCAAACCAGCGAAAGACACAGAGAAAATAAAAAATATAAAAACTATATGATTTGCTTAAATATTAATCATTAAACAATATAAATAGAGGACAAAAAATAACTTTGAGCATAAGGCAAAAAAAGAATAATGCTATATACCAACCATAAGCATAGATGCCTCTGAGAAGGTTTTCTTGCAGGCCCATAGAATCAAAACTATCATAAACTTCATCATAAGAGGTGAAGAAATCTTGTCCATCAGCTGAAAGTCTACATTGACCAAGAGATAAGAATGAATAGAGAAGGAAACTAGAATTAAGAGGTTACAAAAAAACATAATAAAGATAATATGCAATGAAACTTAATAGTACTGTAGGAATAAATTGTCTAGGATGTTCAAAAAAGTTAAAACGTCAAACTTACAACTCATTCATCTTAGAGTCAAACTGACGTGCATCAAATTGAGAACCTTCTGGAGCCAAACCCGCCATATCTGTATGCAGCCAAACATATAAAACATGAAGTAGGTTATGGCAAAAAAATTGTATAGAAACATCTAAAACAAGAAGCTCACGCCACCTTTAACTTCTGAACAACAAAATATAAACATGAATAGAGGAAAAGAAGATTGGGAAAAGAAATGGTAACAAATTTGTTATCGTGGAAATTTTCATTGCCATCAAAACCCAACGGTCTATTATTCTAAGCTATTTCAAAGTGATTTGAAATCTTGAGTGCTTCTATTCCAAATGGATTTAACCTTGCCATGCTTTGATTTTCGATCAATAAATCAATATTAAACGCCTAGTCGAATTAAATTACATTTTATTATACATCTACCATCCAAATACAAAATTATGAGCGTTCCACACAAGATAAGAATTCAAATCCGTTTCTAAGGTATCAAATCATAGGATTTAAAATCATTTTCGAACATTATAGACTCCAAACGGAGGTAATAGTCATAAGAGAAAATGTAACAGAAAAGGCAAACTTGCAATCAAAAAATGCAGAGGGCATGCATTAACTTTCTGTCC